TGTTAAAGTGTTTAACTTGATTTTATTTTTTGCCTAGAAGCTATTTTGCAAAGTTAATATAGTAGTAAGAAATTTTTCTTATTTATTATTAAAAAAAAATTTTTTTATGATTTTGATAGAGTGAAAAAGAGTTTTTTTTTTACTAATTGAATAGTTATTATATTATAATATTTTTTGATATTATAATCTAAATATTTATTGAATTAATATAAAAAATAGCTTTATATAAAAAATAATATTTAACAAATTATAATATCAAATATTATATTAAGTCAGTTTAATGTTTTACTTGAAATTGAACTTGATATTTGTAATAAAAACTTGGAAGTACTAACTACAATATTATAATCTATTATATATGTGGTATAAATTATTTTGCTGTTGACTTAATTATCAAAATTTTTGAAAATAATTATATTTAACTTAATTATTTTATATGTTTTAATAGTGACTCAATTAATTGTATCAAATAATTGTATCAAATTGCATCATGAATCTATCAATTTCTACTATATATATATAATCTATAAAATAATAAATTTTTATATTATATTTAATAAATATTTTTTTTTTTTTATATCTAATCAGGCCATATCATCAAGTTTATTTGCATTTAATGTAGGGTAATATTTATCCGAATTACATATATTGAATTTACCCGAGGTACAAAAAGTAAATACATATAGTACCGGTCATAACTGTATTAAAGATTAACTTAAAAAATCGTATACAGCATACCCATCAATGGCCACTGGCCTCTAGATGAGATTAAGGGAAATAAAAAAAGTTGCTCTATCTTAATCCATGTTCCTTGTAGATCTCAATATCATTGCCAACCCTTCACTTAAGACTGTTCACTCCAACTTAATCTCTATGATCCTAAAGTATAAAAATTTTTATTTTTTTTCAAGAAGATAAAGGGGAAAGATAAAGGGAAAGGAGAAAAGTTTGTACTATACATGTGGTAAAATTGAATTCAACTATTTTTCAAAAACCGTATTATGGTAGAATTACTAAGTAACATATAATAAATAATTGGAATTCGTATTTAATTCAGAATCGTATTGTCGATCAAATTTCCTTTTATGGTAATACGACCACATGTATGGTTTGCACTGGTAAAATAAAAACCTCACCAAAACCAATCACTAGCCTAATGAGAGCCTTCTTTGATCTTTAGAAGAAAAGAAACTGGAACAAGAAGGGAGGAGGAAGGCTTCTAAACACTTCTTAACAAAAGGGCATCTCGATGCCTTGCTCTTTCACTATATCCAGTTACATCATCGGTTGTAATGTGATATGATGCGAGGCACGTGTGGATACGTGTCTTGTTTACATTTCTTTTACATATCGATCAATCAATCCAAGATTTCAGCCAATCACCAACCAGAGAATCCAGTGTAACAAAAAATTCAGGATCAAACTGGAATAGGCAAAATTCTCCAAAAAAATCAGAAAAATTTTGACATGCTTGAAAGTATTACTATAGACATATATGCTTGATGAAAGAGGATCATATATCTGCAAAGTAAATTCCTATCAACTTATCTACCTGCCTGGACCACAGGAGTTTTAAACTTATAGTGGACCCAAGATTTTTATAGTACTTGGAAAATGCATTCGCTTGGCAGACCCAACTAACTTATCCACCTGCCTCCAAACAAAAGTATTCACTTATGGTGAACCCAAGGTTCTTATGGAGCTTGGAAAATACATTCACTAGTGGTTCACTTTCTAGAGTTCCAGACCTTTGGAGAAAATAGTGGAGAGTATTTTTCTACAGATTTCTTCTTTCCAGTAAGGTGTTCTTGCCATAAATCAAATGGATAAAGTTTTGTTTATTTTATCACTGAAATATCCAAAGTTTTTCAAAAAAAAAGAAGTAAACAAGTGGAGGAGGCACCTGCCTTTAGGAAGTAATGTTTTTAAGGAAAGTGTATAAATTTTATTATCAAAAATAAAAATTATTTTTGAGAACGTCTGTTTTTTGGATTGGCAAGGAATCAGCAAAAAGAGTTATTGAGTTATTATATTTAATAAATAATAAATAATTGATTATTATTATAAATTATAATTAAAAATTTATTTTTAAAAAATTAAGTTTTATTAAATATATTTCAAAATTTTAGATATTTAAATATTCTATATGGACTTTAAATTATTAGCAAATTCAACAAAAATATCAAAAAATTATACAAAAACAAATATAGTATTCTAATTGTATTTAGAATTAAACTTTTATTAGAAATTCTCTTTACTCATTAAATTTTTCATCAACTTTATCAAAACCCAATATCCAAATCCATAATGTTCAAGATATAAACTTTATACTAAGGATATTTGACATATACTGTAGTTAATTGTTTTTGAAGTCTTAAAACAAATCAATCAAATCATAAACTTAATCAATCAAATTCTTTATTCAAACAGTAATTTCAAATCAATCTCTTAGATATAGCAAATTATTGAATATAACTAATTAAATCTTTTTCACTGCAAATTTTACTAATTGAATTAAAGCATTAATTAAAGCTTTAATACAAATAAATGATTTAATTTGAAAATTACAATACAATATAACCAATATCTTATCAGTTATAGGAATCAAATGAATTCTAAGCAAACTATTAGATATAATTGATTTTAATAGATTAAGAAAAAATATTATTATCAATACTATTCAAAAAAAAATCCATATTGATTTATTTTCAATAGTTACCAACTTATTTATTCAATATAAATATAATTATTCCAAGTATACATGTGATGGAATTGAATTCAACCATTTTTCAAAAACCGTATTATGGTAGAATTACTAAGTAATATATAGTAATTAATTGGAATTCGTATTTAATTTGGAATCGTATTGTCAATCAAATTTCCTTTTATGGTAATACAACCACATGTATGATTCCAAGTATTATCCAATTCTATTTTATTTAATATTGAGTAGATATTCATCATTGCTCAATACTATTTGACAAGTATATTATTTTAAAATTTTTTTTCAATACTAGTTATATAGTTATTATAGGTAAGCTAATATTTAACTAATTATTTCTTTATGATATATAACTTATAATATATACAAATCAAATAAAGAAATAATATTTACCTATAAAAAAAAAAGTTTTATTAAATATATAATAAAATTTAAAATTGACCTATAGGTTAATAGCACAATAGTTAGTGCTCCCAAGTTCAAATCACAAGATACTGATTCAATTCCAAGTAAAGGCAATTGAACAGAATTAATATAGTATCCAGTGCCATGACCTGTTAAAGTATCGTTTAAGCTAATTCACACACTAATCCAAGCAGGCATCAAAAATATGATCTTTAAAAAAGGTGTCATGGCACAATGATTGTCTGATTGGTGTTATGATAATCACTAAAAAATGAAAAGATATATGAAATATTCAAGATGGAACACAATAATGTAATAATCTTTCCTGAAATACATGACTCTTTTCTTGAAAAGTCAAAGGTTTATCTTTATAAGATTTCTATGAGCTGCAATAGATTACAGTAGTACAATATACAATGAATAAGGTTATAATAGGCAATAAATAGAATTGAATAGAGTTAAATAGGATTCAGAGTTATAAGAAGTGTCAGATATAAAATAATGGTGGCAGACTTAACCTGGATGGTCGAAGTTACCTGTGGATGGATTCTAGTTAATATAATTATTAGTATAGTTCTAACCTTTAGATATATATAATATATGTAAAAAATTGAATATATTAATAAAGACTAGAGTAAAGTTTCACTTAGCTGATTAAAAAAAAAAAAAAATTTAGAATTAACTATTTTTTTAAATATATTAAAAAATATATTATTTTTTAAAATTGATATTAAGTTTTATAATAAAAAATTTATTTGTAATATTGTTTTTTTAATATATAAACTTAAAATATAGGTTAAAAAAATGTTTGAATATTAACAATTGGAACTTTATAATTTAAACTATAAAATTAAATAAATATAAAATTACTTTTTTAGACTTGTAGATCTATAGTACAGTAGATAGTGCTCCCAGATTTCCAAACGCATGTTTCTAGTTTAATACCCACAGGGAGCAAATATACAAAATTATTTTTCATTTATGAATTTATCAGTTTTTTTACAAATGTCATATCCAAACATCCGGATCTAGCCAAATTTAGTTAGGCTGCATGAAAATGGGATCTCTGATTTTTTTGATGATCGCAGGCTGAAAACAGGTCAAAGCAGGAAAGATTGCACGAGAAAAGGTTTCTAATCTAACTTTGATAAAAGCCCACAATCCTCCTGGCATGGCAGACTTCATAGCATAAAGAATACTCTAGTCTGGGGCTATCCCAATCCGGTACTTACTTAAAGAAGAAAATCCTGTAGGAAAATCTGAAGCCACAGGTGGTAACAAAGAGTATAATATTTTCTTCAAGAAACTAGGCAAAAAGTATTCAGAATATTTGGGTGTTTTAATCATCCCTGTAAGGTATACCAGTTTCTTGTCTAATTGGATTAACAGGTTCAGATGGTTTAAAACTAATGACAGAATTTTCATCCTCTGAATTAATCCCACCTGATGTGTAAACCCACTTCCTGGATGGATAAGTTCATATAGTTAGGTTAACACTGCAATAGGCTACAATTAATCTGCACTTTGATGTATGAGATCACTAATGTAATGGTTCTAAACTTAATGTTTAATAAAATCCACACATTTAATGCCCATTTGCAGTTAAAAAAAATAAAATAAAATAAAATAAATTTACTTTTTTAAAAAAAAATAATAAGGTTTTTTATTTAATATTAATAAATTTATAAAAAGAAAATTTATAAAAAGTTTATTGATTAGAATAATTCAAGTTACTTAAAATAAAAAAATATTATATAGTTTTTACAAACATAAATATAACTTTATATTTTATTTATTATTTATTGAATACAAGCAATAGAATATTTAATACTGGACATGTGATACAGTATATGAGGAAAATACTGCGCGAACATTACCAATCGAGTAATTTACTGTTGTCCCCACCGCAACTTGGTTTACTGCTCTTACTCCAATCATAAACGCCAGATCTCTTTGAAAAAGAATTTTGATCCCATCCCGCCTGGATTAATGCTTTACTAACATCAACATTCGTCAAACATTCGGTTGGTCTTTTGTCATTTCCCTGGCAATTTAAGAAACATAGGTTTTCATCTAATATTAAGTACGAATTCCTCATAACTTTATTCCCCTCCACCACCATACATTTTTGTCTACGGTGTCTTTTCACAAAATCATCATACTCCTGATCACTGATTACAAAATCTCGCGCATCTCTGAGTGTATTTTCTCCACCATTTTCGTTGTCAATAATCAACACCTGAAAGCATTTCCATCTAAACGGTTGTATCATTTCTATATGTTTGTTCATATCTTGGAAATAATTAAATTTGTTGACTACGGTATTCAACTTGAACTTTATATTATACTCTTTACACCATCTGCTTAATTCTTTTAACTTTTCTACATGATTTCCTTTCCCCCTCCCTATTTTTATATTTGTTGATTCATCGAAGGAATCACATGAAATCGCGAGGATGTCGATATAATCCTTGTTTTCATCGAGAAATTTTTTGGTTATTTTACTTCCATTGCTAACAATGGACACTGATTCTAGATGAAGAACTTGTTTGGAATAACGAAGTAAATGTTGTAGATATTTTGGGTAGAGGAATGGTTCTCCGCCTGCAAAGTTTAACTTTTTCATGCCTGCATTTGAGAGTTTTTGGAGAACAACTTTTGAAGATTCTAATGTTGGCATTGCAGAATTTTTTGCTGTATGAAAGCAGAATCCACATTCATAATTGCAATTTCGAGTAAAATGAAAGTTCACAGATATTGGGATTGTTTCTTTATTTGACGCGGTTAATTTGAAGTTGGAGCGCAATTTGTAGGTTAAGGTGATTAAAAGTACCGTTGAAAAGATTATAAACAAAATCATTTTCTCGATTATACAATTTTTTAGACTGGTCCCAATTAAAATCTTTGAAAAGATCTATAGTGACGGATAAAAATCTTTCATTTTTATATCCGAATTGTTTTTATAAATATAATATACTTCCGGATTATCTGATAATATGTCCGACTGTGCATTTGCTTTTTAGTTACGTGCACTATGACATCCTGTATATCGAAAGCTTCATATTACAGGTTTCTTTTGTTGAAGTTGGCGTAGGTGTTTTTAGAGTCACGCGAGATAAGTTATTTAGACTATTCAAACGCCAAAGAAAGTTTGATAGAGTCCGATCCTGGTTTTGTTTTGTTTTTATTGTTTATCCGGAACAAATACATGAGATTTTGTAACAAATTTTGTTTCCAATTATGGACACAAAGCAATCTGTACGCCGAGGGTTCAGCACTGGCAAAAACTAATGAAGATCATAAATATATACAAAATTGAGAATTGAGAAAACGATTTTTTTTTATTGTTTTACAATAAATTTTCACAATTAAAAAAATATTGAACAAAATGTTGCTGACTAAAAAAATATAAAGGGAAAGTCGCGTCAATATACCCGAATTTATCACGTGACAAGACGATCGACAAAACAATAGAGTTAAAACATATGGTTAATTCTTTTCGAAGGCGGACAGGGAGTTTTCGGACCCCAGAATAATTACCCCGAAAATTTATATTGATACATATATACAATAAAAATTCCAAAAATAGATCTGGCCCCTAAATTTATATTGTATATATTAATCGAAATAATATATGCGGCATATACTTACATAAAATCACGTGATTGATCGTCACGTAACGAAATTTGCGCGAAATTCGCGAAACTATAAAAACCATAAAAACCAACATTAATATTTCGTGGAATTAACTTTATTTCAATATAATAATTAATAAAATTTTATTTATATAAATGATAAGTATTTATTAATATAATTTAAAATAAATTAATGTTTTTTTATTCTTAATTAATTTTTTTAATAATAAATAATAAATTAAATTAAAAAGATTTTTTTTTAAAAAAAAAAATTAAAAAATATAATTAAATATAAAATAGAACTTGCATGGGAGGAAATAGTTGAACCCAAAGCCATATATAGCTATTCCTATACTTTAGGTTCTATTTTATATTATAGTTAAATTATATCTCCATTGGAATAGGAAAATTAGGTGTTTTTTCTATTCTAGTAAGTAATCTTTGTCTACTTTTACTACCATTACTATTGAGGTATTTGTTGATTGTCTAAATGATGCATATTTTGTTTTTCTTGTATATTTAACTATTTTTATCTTGAAAGGAATTTCTATATAATCTTTAAAGTTAAATGTACTAAGAGTTAAAACATATAATTTGTTATTAAATCTTATAAATAATAAATATAAAAAAAAATTATCTATAGTTAATTTGTAAATATTATTTTTAGGTTAAGTACATAAATAGGTATTAAAAATAATATTGAAAGAAAATTAGATTTTGCTTTTAAAAAAATTAATTAATTTTTCAAGGATATGAATGTTTTGAATTGTTTCACCTTCAGAAAATTATCTTAATAATATATCAAAGTAACTATCAATAATCTTTTTTTCATAATATTTAACAAAAAAATTAAGAAAAAATCTTTTGTTATAATGGGATAATAAATAATTAAAAATAAAGTGTAATAATAGTTCAACTGATCTAAAATGAGAATCAGAATCTGACCAAAAGCAAATTTTATGAAATTGTAATATAAAGAATTTAAAAGAAGTTAATTGATACAATCAGAAACAAATAAAGAATCATGGATAAAATTTTTTAAAAAAAATCAAAATATTGTATTTGGATTATACCATTATTATCTTTATAATAAATAATAAATTCTAAAAAGAAATTTGTGTTTTTTTATAAAAATTTCTATCAGTTTCAATAGGACCACCATCAATTTTAAAATTTTCTTTAAAATCTATAACTATAATACAAAAAGTATTTGTGATACAATCAATAGATTTTTGATAAAGATATTGTTGTTGAGTTTTGAAATAAAGATATTGATAATAAAAGTAAATTTGATTTTGTAATTAAAAAATAAGATGGATATTAGAAAAATTAATTTGTTGTAATTTTTTTTAATTTTTTTTTTCTTCAATACAAATTGGATACATATTTGTTTTTTTTTATGCTTTTTTGAAGTTTGAAGAACAATATTTATAAAATATTTCAAGGAATAATTTTAAAGAAAGATTTTATATTTTTAATTCAGAATAAATTTTTTTTTTTTGGTTTTTTCTAAATAATAAATTTGAAATTAAAATTAGTAAAAATATTTTCAAAAGAAAAAAGAAGTTTTGGAAATTGGCATATTTTAATAAATAATTGAGAATTTTGTAAAAGGGATTAAGAATAAGTTCAATGGTTTGTTTGATAATAGCAGATTTAAAAGAAGAAATATATCTTTGATAATTTGATAAAAAAAAAAGATTGATTATTTGCTTTTTTTAAAGAGGTATTGAATTGTATATTACTAAAGTAAAAATCAAGATTTATTAATTTTAATCTACTATATAAACTAGTTATTAAAGATAAAAAATTGAATTTATATTTTGTAGGAGTATTTGTATGCATAATTTTTAAAATTGTTAAGGATTTGTTTAGTTTTTTTTTGCATATTTTGAATCTGAAAAAAATGTTTTTTCGATATTAGATTGGTTAAAAAATAATTATATAATTGTGTTAAATTATTTTCTGATAAATGAAAAGCCACATTATATAAAATTGAAGCAGCAAGATTTTTTTTAAAAAGAAGAATAAGAATTCAAGAGTAAAGAGTAAGGATGAAAACAAAGTAGTTTAGAAATATTTTTTCTTAAATTTAAAGAAGGCATGATATAATAAAAAAAATATAATTTTCAAATTAAAAAAAATAATATTTAAAAGTTGTATTTAATAATTAGTTTCATACAAATTCACAAACCAATTTGATTGTCTATAATATAATCTAACAATACAAAAGTTTTGCAATACAATAGATATATGCACAACATAATAAACATAATAATATGTGTAATCTGCAAATGATTAATAAAAGCCGCGCATGTATCGCACTTAGCCCAAAAAAAAAAAAAAATAAAAATAAACATAATAATATGTAAGTTATTAAACTATTAAACTATAATACAATTAAACAATTGAAATACAAACTAATTTAAATTATTATAGACTATATATAATTATAATTTTTTTTTTAATAGTAGAATGGCAGAATTTTATTAAATAATCATCAATTTTACATATATATCAAACATCATCTATTGCTATTATAACAGCTAAATGTTAACCTATTTACTTTTATTACTTCAGCAATATTAATATCACTTATAAAGTGGATTCATATATTTTTGGGGGGACCTATCTAGGGGATAGAAATTCTATCACTAGTTTTAAACCATCCAACCTATCAGTCCATATTTGTCTAAAAACAATAAATACTGCTGACTATTTCCTAAGGTTACTTATCATATCATATTTTCTCACTTACCTAATCTTGTGGCAGAAGACCTCCAATATGATGTGTTCCTTAGTGAATTGCTTTGGTTTTGACTATTGGTTGGCTTTTAGCTATCAAATTCAGGGGCTCTTATGGCCAAGTAAGACATGACTCCTTAAGGAAATTTTTTAATTTCCTGGTAAACACTCTATGCAAATCTGATTGGCTTAGGTTGCCAAATCTAAGGGCATAAATACCAAGCAGGATATAACTTTTCACATAAACCATTGATCAGTATACCATACAAGAGTAGTGTCGATACAGTGCTCTTCTTCAAAACTTCCATATTTGATAATTAACAAAAAGGGAAAGTGTTGTATGGGTTTAGATAAAATAGGATACAGTCCAGTCTGTACATCCAAATGAGTGATTGTGATTAGTAGTTGATAAGGGTTGGTTAAGATGGGATATAGCCCAGTCTGCACACCCAAATGTATAGTGATATCTTTCATTAAATGACTATTGTAACACCAATCAGATGATTGTCACACCACTATATCTTAATGGAAAGATCACAATCTCAACATCCACTGAATTAGTATATAAAATGACTTCTTATAAGAAACAATACACAATTGATTATGGTGCCAAATACCATAGTAATCTATTCAATCACCTTCACATGAAATTGAACTGGTATTTTGTGATCTGACCTGTGGAGCACTAACCACTGTGCTATGGATCCACAGGTCATTATATATAATTATAATATAAAATTAATTTTATAATATTATATAATAAAGTAAATATGTATGTAATATAATATAATTAGAAACAAATTTGTACTTAAAAATTCTAGACCTTAATTCCTTATCTCAAAAAAATTTAACTAACATTTTGTTATCTTCAAAAAGAATTATTCATACAATATATGAATCTAATATTTTTTTAAAAAAAAAATTGCTTATTATGTTTTATATAGAAACTATTATATTTTTTATAAAGAATTATCCAATATTCATTATAAACTAATTTTGTTTGACTATTTATTTATTATTATTATTAAGTATAGTTTTATTAAATGTTATTAAAATTCAGTATCTATAATATATACAGTATATAGACCAGTGTATACATATAGTATAAATTATTTTGCTGTTAACTCAATTGCCAAAATCCTCAAAAATAATTGCGTCTAACTCAATTATTTTATATATTTTAATAGTGACTCAATTAATTGCGTCAAATAATTGCGTCAATTGCGTCAAGGATCTACCAATTTCTACCACATGTATAGTACTAACCACTGTGCTATAAACCCACAGGTCTTAATTAAAGAAAAAATAATTTTTTGTTATTCAAATTATATTATTATATTATTATATTTTAATAAACTTTTTGTTAATTATAATTATAAATAGTTGTCAAAATATTTTTATTAGCTAAATAACAATAAAATTAAATATTAAAATATATACTATATATAATAATTTATTAAATTTTAAACTTAAAATATAT